ACCTTGTCCTGCTGAACTTGTATGGGTGGAATGGCCTACCAGTTGTCACTTGCCGAAAGACATCCGTGGATGTCCTGTAGCTCTTCCCTATATTACAAACATTTATAAACCATATATCAAGTGGGGAAGCAGCTCCGATCTCACACGCCGAGCTGAGTCAACCGTGCCAGGCCTGGAAAGAGCTCCTGGCGAGCGCCGGGTGCAGCCCGGAGGCTGGGCTGAGGAGGAAGAGGAAGGACCGACAGAGGTACCCTACACCTCCAAGTACATCCTCAGAAGGTAATTGGACCCTCCTGGCACCCACCCAGTCCCATCTTCGAAACGAAGGTGTGACTGGAGGCCCTAGGGGTAACCGAATGACCCGTGAATAGAACCCCGTAGAAGTACCGGTCACGGGGGGGTACCGAACTGGGAGACAACTGGTATGTACCAGCACCACCCAGTGGGGGTGGTTTTTGTCTAACCCCCCCTGACGAATTGTCCTTCGAATCATCACCCTTTCATTCGGGGTGCTGGTAGAGAGACTAGAGTGAACTCATCAGGTCACCTGCGAAATTGGGACGGTGCTGCACCCTGCTCTCGCTTTGGGCGGGTGTAACGGATTGTTGCATATTGCTGCACAGTGCTGCGCCTCCAAGCTCCGGCAGGTCAGTTCAGCCTGATCGCCACCAGTTACGGCCTGCCAATTAATTTGTTCGGCTGGAAAGCTGCTGCTGGGCTGGTACTGATGATCTTGGTCGTCTCAACGCATGCTTTGCAGACTTAGCTGAAACGGTCTGGTTCACTTGACCCCCTCGCTTGCCATCAACCTTTCCAAGGATGATTTCCTGACCTGACCTGCTCAGGAGGGTGCATGCCGTTTTGGCGGCCTGGCCTTGGATGCGGCGGGTCGTGCCGTCGCTTTGACCTTTTGACTACCTGGTACCCCTGGGCCCCCTGAAGAGTGAGGAGGCAGCACAGCGGAAACCCGGGTTGAGCCTTGTCGCCATTGTGGCAGCGAACGGGGCTTCTCTTCCCGCCTGGGGTGTCTGGTTTTGCCGGGTTTGCAGCTGGATTCCTGACGAAATGGCTTTGCGTATTTGGGGACGTGCCCTGCCTTCCTTCGATCACTCCATACCCTGTGCCCCTCTGAGGGGGCGCTTTGGAGGTCGATCATCTTTTGGGCCCGCGGACTGAGTGAGCAGCACTCTTGCAGCTGCGCCTGTCTCCACACATTGCTTTGCTTGTCAGTGCTCGTCCTTGATGTCCTTCGCTGGCATGATCCGATGCTGGTACACTACATGATAATCATACCCAGACACTCCATGGGACTGGAATATATATATATATATATTATATAATTATATATATAATATTATAAGTATATTATATTGTATATGATACGTATATGCCGCCCCATTGACCCCCCTGGCACCACCCCTGGCCGTTTCTCGGCAGTCGGGATATGAATCGGTCACCGGGCTCACCCTGCTGGCTTGGCACCTCCCGGGGTCGTTTGTTTTTCCTTTGCGAAGCGGAGCGGGTCGTTGGCTCCCCGGGAGTTGGTCAGCTTGTTTCAGGCAAGGAGCTCAGACCACAGTCTTTCACCTTGGGGATTTTCGCACTCAAGGTGGCTGAAGTGTTCAGGAGATTGATGTACAGATGTCGATCGTACGCATCAGCCTATCTATCAATGACCGATCCTGGGTTTGTCCGAATTTACCTGCAGAGCCGTCCAGTAAACACGAACATCACTAGTTTTGCACAAGGCCTTTACTGATCATCATCATCATCATCATCATCATCATCATCTACCTACTGTTACTGGCAATATGGGATAAAACCCAATATCTATCAACGATCTCCTCTGGCGGACCATGCTCCTGGGAAGGGAACCCGCTTCGGGTCCGAAGCCGCGTGTGTGAAGAGGTAGGGTGGACTTTTTCGTGCTTTTGAGTCTGTCTGAGGGAGTTTGGGACCGCGGGCCATGATTCTCAAAGGAACTAACGTTCGGCTGGTAGGTTGGATAGATGCTAGATCATCCATGCATGGGAGAGTTGTATACTAACATGTAAATATATATATGTATATACTCACTCAGACACATATCAGTAATTGATTCCTTTCATAAATGGTTTGGAGGAGCACGTTGCATTTGCATTTGCATTGAATTGCTTCGTGCTGAGCCGTTGCTGCAGGCACCGGCAGCGATTGCAGCAGAGGAGGACAAGGAAGAGGAGGAACCGAATATGTCGATGTTGACTTTGACGAAATCGTCTTCTTTGAGACAAACTCTTCTGTTATCCCGCCATCCGGCTGCTATGCAAACAAACTAGCTCCTCCTTGGGAGGGGGCGTTAATTACGAAAGCCAGCCTTCGTAGAAGGCGAACGAAGTGAACAGGTTAGGGGGTTTGGGGGGGTGGGCCCGCAAAAGGTACACGTAAACTCGGCACATGCTGGGGGAGGAGGGTGCACGGATGGAAGGCTTTGGAGGTTGTTTGGAGGTGATGTTTTTGTGATTTTGGAGCGGGTGGTGATGCAAGAAATGCATTGTTTGGCTTTTGCATCATCTGCATGTGGATGGCTTCTGTGTAAACTATCCTATGTAAACTATCCTTTTGCTGGGCAAGAGATTGCGACTCCCTGAAAGA